CTGCTCGTGTCGCCTCCTGTCTCACGAGACTCTCCTCTGGCACCACCGCCTTGGTCACCCCTCCCTGCTTCGTCTCCGAGGCATGGCCTCCCGTGTCCTTGTCTCTGGTCTTCCCCGGTCCCTCCCTCCCCTTCCCCCGGGGCCTGCCCCTGCCTGCGTCCCCTTCGTAAAGGGGCGGCAGCGTGCTGCCCCTCACTCCTCCCAGTTTCCTGCGACAGAGGCCCCGCTGCAGACGCTTCACATGGACGTGTAGGGCCTAGCCTGCCTCCGTGGACAGGGTCACGAGCGCTACTTCCTGCTGGTGGTTGACGACTACTCGCGTTACACCACAGTCTTTCCCTTGCGCAGCAAGGGTGATGTCACTGAGGTGTTGATCGACTGGATCCGCGCAGCTCGTCTCCAGCTCAGGCAAAGCTTCGACTCGGACTTTCCTATTGTGCGTCTCCACTCTGACAGAGGCGGAGAGTTCTCCTCTGGCCTTCTGCGAGCCTACTGTCAGGCACGAGGCATCCGCCAGACCTTCACGCTTCCGGACTCTCCACAGCAAAATGGGATTGCTGAGCGCCGCATTGGCATGGTCATGGACGTCGCCCGTACGTCCATGATGCATGCGGCTGCCCCCCATTTTCTGTGGCCGTTTGCGGTTCGGTACGCGGCGCATCAGATCAACATTCAGCCCAGGGTCTCCAAGCCGGAGACCTCCCCAGCTTTGCTGTGGACCGGGAAGGTTGGCGATGCGTCTGCGTTCCGTGTCTGGGGATCTCGGGCGTTTGTCCGCGACTTGTCTGCCAACAAACTGTCCCCTCGTGCTACTCCTTTTCGTCTTTCTTGGCTTCCCCCCTGACGCGCCAGGGTGGCAGTTCTACCACCCCACCTCTCGCCGTGTTCTGTCCTCCCAGGACGTCACGTTTGACGAGTCGGTCCCCTACTACCGCCTCTTCCCCTACCGCACTCCGTCCCTTCCCCCGCCACCGCTCTTCCTTGTGCCAGGTCCCCCCCCGGTAGACCCCCTCCCCCCTCAGGGTCCTGCCCCTTCAGGTGTGTCCCAGGTATACGCAGTCGAGCTTGTCGAGGTTGCTGGTGACTCTGGTGCTGCTGAGGGTGCTGAGCGTGTGGGTGCTATGCCTGGGGGTGCTGAGCCTGAGGGTGCTACTACTTGGGGTGCTGAGCCTGGGGGTACTGAGCCTGGCGGTACTGTGCCTGGAGGTTCTCCGGGTGCTTCGTCTCGGCGAAAGCCACTCTCTCCACAGGAGCTGCGCGAGTGGTCTGCCCGGCGCTGGAGGCGTGCTGCTGGAGCTGGAGGTTCTTCGGCTACTGAGGGTGCTGGTGTCGCGGGTCCCGAAGGTGCTCGAACTGGGAGTACTGGAGCTGCTAGGCCTGCGGGTACGACTGGAGTTGGAGCTGCTGAGGGTGTTGGCGCTGAGGCTATTGCTGTCGGTCCTGGAGGCGGTCCTGTTGGGGGTGCTACTGGTGCTGTTGGAGGTCCTGGAGCTACTGGAGCTGCTAGGAGTGCTGGAGCTGGAGGTGCTGCTGGCACTAGTGCTACCACTGGGGGTACTGGTTCTGTCATTGCTGTGTCTAGAGTCGCCGCGCGGCCTCGGCCGTACTTCGTTCCGCTCCTTCAGCAGGTTCTTGGTCTTCCGCCTTCTACTGGTCCTCTTCCTCCCTTAGGGTGTCCACAGCCTGTCCCGTCACAGTTACAGTTACAGCCGGCCTCCCCACTGCCTGCTCCTTCTCCCTACACTGGTCCTACTGGAGGTCTTGCTGAGCGTCGTAAACCTGCTTCTCGACCTGCGTCGCCTGTCCGTCCTGCTCGCACTAGTGGTCGTGGTTCGCGTCAGCGTCCTCCTCCAGTCCCTAGCACGCACCGTATGTCTCTGCGTCCGTCCACTGCTCCTCTGCGTGCCCCTTTGCCTTCTCCTCCTGAGTCCTCTCTTCTTGCACTTTTCGACCCGGAGTCGGACTCTCTTCGTGCTGCCAGTCCTACTGTCACGCGTCTCCTTGCTACTGTCGTCACTGACCCTTCCTTTGAGTCCACTGCTGCGTTTGCCCTAGTTGCTGATCTCGTCGACTTTGCTGCTAGCTGTCGTCTAGACTACGCTGCTAGTCTTGTCGCTAAGTCTGAGTCTGTCTGTCCTCCGTCCGTCGGGGGTGAGTGTGCCCTTGGCACGGACGTCCTTGAGGATAGGCAGGAGGAGTTCCAGTGTTTGGCTACTGCTTCACCTCATCTCGTGTCCATACTGCTTACCCCTGAGGGAGACCCGGATGCACTTGACATCCCGACTCCGTGCTCTTACGCGGAGGCGATAGAGGGTCCCTACTCCTCTCAGTGGCAGGCAGCTATGGACACAGAGATGGCTTCCTGGAAGTCCACAGGCACCTACGTTGACGAGGTTCCCCCGCCTGGGGCGAACATCGTCAGTGGCATGTGGATTTTCAGGGTGAAGCGACCGCCGGGTTCTCCGCCTGTCTTCAAAGCGCGTTACGTGGCTCGTGGCTTCAGTCAGCGGCAGGGAGTTGACTACTTTCAGACCTACTCTCCCACCCCGAAGATGACCACTCTTCGGGTACTGCTGCACATAGCTGCTCACCGTGACTACGAGCTGCACTCTCTTGACTTCAGCACTGCTTTCTTGCAGGGCAGCCTGCACGAGGAGATCTGGCTGCGTCGCCCACCTGGCTTCACTGGGTCTTTTCCTCCTGGCACCCAGTGGAGCCTCCGGCGGCCAGTCTACGGTCTCCGCCACGCACCGCGTTCTCAGAATCCCAACCACTAGACCATTGGGATAAAAGGGCTTGTTTCAGTAGCGGGTCAGTGCGCCCATAACCCCCCAGGCAAATGTGCCTGTAACCCTTCCGTAGGATCGATCGAGGATCACCAGTGGACCTCTGACACCCCCCCGCACTGGGATGCCCGAAGTGCATACACCGGGATTCGAACCCGAGACCTTCGCTCTGATACCATCTCAGAATCCCAACCACTAGACCATTGGGATAAAAGGGCTTGTTTCAGTAGCGGGTCAGTGCGCCCATAACCCCCCAGGCAAATGTGCCTGTAACCCCTCCGTAGGATCGATCGGGGATCACCAGTGGACCTCTGACACGCGTGAGTGGCACGACACACTGAGGACTACACTTGCGGCTCTTGGGTTTGCTCCTTCTACTGCCGACCCGTCGCTGTTTCTGCGCACCGACACTTCTTTGCCGCCGTTCTACATCCTCGTGTACGTCGACGACTTGGTCTTTGCCACAGCTGACACTGCTGGACTCGCCCACGTGAAGTCCGAGCTGCAGAAGAGACACACGTGCACAGACCTGGGTGAACTGCGCAGCTACCTTGGCCTGCAGATTACCCGGGACAGAGCACGCCGCACCATTACCCTGACTCAGTCACACAAGGTGCAGCAGGTCCTTCAGCGCTTCGGCTTCACGTACTCCTCGCCTCAGGCCACTCCTCTGCCTACTCGCCACTCGCTCTCAGCTCTGCCTTTGGATGAGTCCGTAGAGCCGATTGGCCCGTACCCAGAGCTTGTTGGCTGCCTCATGTACCTGATGACCTGCACACGACCTGACCTTGCATACCCTCTTAGCAGCTTAGCACGCTATGTTGCTCCTGGGAGACACCGACCAGAGCACATGGCTGCAGCAAAGAGGGTGTTGCACTACTTGTGCAGTACGTCGGGCATGGGGCTTGTGCTTGGAGGGCCGAGTCCAGTGGTCCTCACTGGGCACGCAGACGCTTCTTGGGCTGACGACCAGGCTACGCAGCGGTCGTCACAGGGTTACACCTTCAGCCTTGGTTCCGGGTCTGTTTCGTGGCGGGCTACCCGCTCGTCCTCCGTTCTTGGCTCTAGTTGTGAGGCTGAGATCTACGCGGGGGCTATGGCTGCACAGGAGCTTCGCTGGCTCACCTACCTGCTGACTGACCTCGAAGAGCCGCCTCGTTCTCCTCCAGTGCTGTACGTAGACAACAAGGCCATGCTGGCCTTGTGTCGGGAGCAGAGACTGGAGCACAGAACGAAGCACATTGCTCTTCGCTACTTCCTTGCTCGTGAGCTACAGCAGCGTGGTCAGCTGCGCCTTGCGTACGTGGCCTCTGAGGCCAACACATCTGATATCTTCACCAAGGCGCTTGCGCCTTGTGATCATCAGCGCTTCTGTACTCAGCTGGGTCTTGTGCCTGCCTTGCCTCACTTGCTCACCACTTGACTTTGTTTGTACTGTTACATATATATATACACCTGCTCTTGCTTGTCTAGCCTTATATATATATATAATCCTGCATGTGAACTGGCCTTGTGGCCTTGAACTTGTGCTCGGAATGTGTGGTGACTTTGTGATCCACCTTGAGCTTGCTTTGCTTTGCTTGACTGGTCTTGTGACCCCTTGTTCTCCCCCACTTTGCGTATGGGGGTGTGTCAGATTTATATGACATAGCTGTTGTAGGCTATAGTTGGGTAGCACATATGGGGTACCACTTTCTAGGGTTTGTACTTGTACCCTGCTTTCCCTAAGTCAATTCATTCTCGTTCATTTTTCTCACTCTTGTGTTTGCGCATCTGGTAGCATCACCAAAACTCTCGGTCACGTTCGCACTTACCAGTGCAGGGCGTCCCATGACCACTGCAGCCTAAGAATATGTTCTTCTCGCCTCTCTCGTGTTCACACCTATGGTTGCATCAGCAACACTGTTGGTGGCATCAGCAGCACCTTTGGTGGCATCAGAAGCACCTTTGGTGGTGTCAGCAGCACCTTTGGTGGCATCAACAACCGCTGAAACATTCGCACCGGCGACACCATTTGCACAGGCAGTAACATTTGCACCAACAGTATCATCTGCACTGGCGGTCGAATCTATCCGGGAGTTGACTTTTGCACCAGCTATAGCATAAGTGGCATTGAGAATATCCCAAACCAGATACCCATCATAAAATTCCCTCACCCATCATAAAATTCCCTCCCAACACCATGTAACCCTCACCATTACTATCACCTTTCCCTCATGCCCCTCTATCACCCTCCCCCATGGCATCATCCCCTGCCACCCGATTCACCTCCATGCTCACCCCACCCTCCACCTCCCCTACATTCTGGTGCTCCTCCCCTCCCTCTCCTCCCCCTGCACCCTCGCCTCCCTTTCCTCCTTTCACCTTCCCTCCTCTTCCACCTCCCTCTCCCCATACTTTCTTCTGTCTCCTGCTTCCTCTTCCCTTCAGCAGTTGGGGCACGAGAGCCACTAGCTGCCTGAGACGTGTCTTCACATCAACCACATGTTTCATGGGCTGGAGGGGGTACGGGGTGCAAGGGGTGCGTGATGAAGGGAAATAAATGGGTAAGAAGGCCGGGATTTTGAGAGCACAAAACAGAGTCTTTGCTTGTGAACTGATCATGCTGATATTGTTAACGGGAGTGGAGTGCTGCCCCGTCCTCGCTTGGGCAACGCCGACGTCTTGGTCGGATGTACGGGAGTAGCAGCCGATCGTTCACAATGGGAGAGCTGCTCGACAGGCTTCGTCGAGCTGCAGGGGACCGCTATGGTGTTACTGTCGACCAGGGAGCTCGACAGCTGCAACTGACTGGTTTGGGCGACAGGTAGGCCGTCGACCAGGAGGGGCAGTTCGACCGGGAGCAGTCTGTCGACCTGCAGTTCGACCGGGAGGTCGACGAGCAGTCCGTCGACCTGACAAGTGAGCAACGGTCGACGAGGGGAGCTTGGCGACAACCGCTGATGGTTCTGGTCGACGGAAGGGGTCCGTCGACTAGGGGGTAGCTCGACGGGAGTTGTGGTCGACCAGAGGCACCTGGTGGTCGACCAGAGGGACCCGGTGGTCGACAGGAGGCACCTGGGGGTTGACCACAGCACCTGGGGTCGACCAGGTCGACCGGGTAACCTGCTCGACGAGTTCTGCGGAGGAACGCGAACGTCGTCGAGGTCGCGATGGCAATGGTGACTGCGGGCTGGTATCCCGAAGTCAATGTGGCTCATCAGGCGCAGACAACAGCCGACGGATGCCCAACGGGGCAAATCGGGCCAATCGTCTGCGCGCACCTGCGAGCGTTGGCACTGCTGTGTTCTACGGGGCAACGCTCGACAGCCGCTCTGCTGCAGTGTTGGCACGCCGTCGACCTGCTCTGTTGGCAGGTCGCCCTTCTGCAGTGTTGGCGCAGCTCCTCTACGCAACGCTAGGGAGGCGGTCGACCAAGCTGTGCTGGCGGTCGACCAGGCTAGCTGCAGGGTTGCTAGGTGCCTGATGTAGTCAAAATGTCATTGCTTGTTCAATCATTCTCTAATTCCAACTTTGCTAGTGGAAACTCTCGCCGATTTCTCCCGTGAATGCGCAAGCACTAAGGAACTAAGCGAAGCTACGATCACCTCTAGTAGTTCGTGCCAACCCCCATAGTCTAGCTCACTACCGTTGTGAAGTGACTCTCCGCAGATATGACCGCCCTGCTACCTGCATGCGTTGCCGCACCAATTGGCTAGATGGGTGGAGGAGGTGCCGAAAGGTTGGGGAAGGCAAGCAAGAAAGTTCATGGGAACACCCCCCTTTCCATGTGTACTGCGTGGGCTGATATGACTGCCCATGCCACCTGCATGCGCCGCCGATTATATACACCTATGGGCTGGAGGATGGGGGGAGTGAGGGTGGATAAGAAGGCAAGGAATGTAAGTGCATGTGAACACTCCCTTTGGAACCACTTGTGCTGATGTGACTGGCCATGCCACCTGCATGCGTTGCTGCCATGCACCCATGGGTTGCCAAGGGGTAGGGAGAGAGGAGGGGAAGGAGGGAAAGGGAAATGGGGGGAGGGGCATGGGAAGGGAAGATTGGGGGGAGAGATAGGGGAATGTTCGGGAGGCAAGTGGGTAAGCAGGCAGGGATTACACGAGCATGAGAGTGCTCCCTCTCCTAGTGTACTGTCTGTGCCGATATGACCGCCCATGCCACCTCCATCCGCTGCTGCAGCCACACACCCATGGGCGGGAAGGGCAAGAGGGGTAGGGGAGATTGGGGGGTTTGATGAAGGCAGACAAGTGGATAAGTGAATGACCTATGCTGATATGACCGCCCATGCCACCTGCATCTTCTGCCACAGCACATTCCCATGAACTTCCGAGGACAGGAGGATAAAGGGGAGAGGGGGGCCTGGGGAAGTCAAGCAACTGCATAAGACAGAAGGGAATGTAAGTACATGAGACAGTCCCTTGTGCATTGCCTGTGCCGATATGACTGTGCCACGTGCATGCTCTCCCGCAACAACACTCCTAGGGGATGGTGAGGACAGGAGGGTTAATAGGGAAGAGAAGAGTTTTTAGGCGTCGTATAGAAAGGAAAAGGCAAGCAGGTGTGGTAAGAAAGCAAGGAATATAATTGCATGAGAACATTCACTTACCTCCGCTGTGCTGATATGACCGCCCATGCCACTTGCATGCGCTGCCGCAGCCAAACACACCCATTTGGAGAGGAGGTTAGGGGTAGGGGGCGAGAGGGGAGGGGTGAAAGAGGGGGGGGGGAGGAGTGGAAGGGCAGGGCAATGGAATCGAGGAGGACGAAAGGGGAGAGTGAGGAGATGTAGAGGGGCGGTGGAGAAGCAAGTGGGAATGAAGGCACGGAGTGTAGCATGAGAATAGACATCTGTTAATACACCCCATTTCTAGCTCATCATCCCTTCCTAGTGCCAGCTCATCCCTCCCCTTGCTAGCTTATCTCTCACCCTGGCTTGCTCATCATTCACTATTCACATACTCGTCCATCATCATAACATCCATCTTATATACCAGGGTAACGCCCGTACTAGTGATTCAAAAGTGAATCAGCCTCAGCACACCCATATCGATCAATGGCGACGGCCATTCTCGCACACAATCCACTCGTGGGGGCTCATACAGCCGTCCATAAAGTGCGCAGCGAGGGGAAGCCATGCAATGGGTTTAGTGTGGTGGCGCCCAGAGGAGTCGGGCATTTAGAGGGTGTAGCGCTGTAGCAGTGCATCGGTGTCCGTACCTTGGTTCTCAGAGGAGAAAGAGGTTCTAGATCAGGACTTATACTTAAGAGGAAGGAGAGGGGAGGTGGTGTAGGACGAAAGGAAAGAACGCGATTAAGCCTCAACACTTTTGTGCCTCTCAATGAACGGAGCCAATTCTCTATCACATGCCACTTGCGCGAGTTAATGCAATCATACATAAGGTGAACGGCAAGGGGCGGTCATGCAATGCATTTGGTGGCACTGGGAAGAGTCGAGCATGTGCAGCGTGTAGCACTCTGGTTTTGGTGTCGGGACCAATGGGGTTCTCACCTCGTATTGAGGACCAGTAAAAAAAGAAGAGCAAGGGAGGTGGCTTTGACTAATTGCATATGTGAGTAATCACACGCCGTTTTGCATACTCCTATATTAAAATTACCTTTGAGAATTCTCAGAATTGGCCTTGACTATGTCTTTGACTATTTGCACCTCTGAGTCATCACACGTCGCTTTGCATTCTCCTTGCCATTGCGGCTGCATTCGATCTCAAATTATATCAAATCAGCGTGGCAAGATCTTTCTCGACGCACTCGTGAGGTTCAAGTTGCTCTATAATATCAAACAAGCACAGTGTATGTGGCAATGGCACCTCCACGCGCCTCCGGTGTGTCAGATCTCTTCAACTGCCTCACAAATAGGATTGCTAAGGCGTCTAGGGTGCACGATGAGGTGAAGTTTGCGGTGGCTAGGATTGCTAAGGCGCCGGGAAGGATGGTGTCGATGGAGGACGATTCGATGTTGATAGGGAAGTTGTCGAAGAGAAAGGCCCCGCCCTCGCTTGGGCGCGGCCGATCTTGCCGTCGATGAGAAGTTCTTGATGGAGTGGTCGTCGAGTGGGCTTCTGCTGTTCGACAAAAGTTGTGTTCAAGCAGGCTGTGCCCGACGGGATCTGGTAGACGACGTCGACAGGCATTGGTGGTCGACAGCGTTGGTCAACAAGTCCGTCGAGAGCTTTGGTTGAAGAGTTCTAGCCAAAAATCTTTGGTCGACATCGTCGACGGGCAGCGCTGGTCGACGAAGCCCGTCGAGAGGTGCTGGTCGACGAGGGAAGTCGAGGAGCGCTGATCGGCGAATGCTGTTCAACTGAGCGACGTCGAGCTGGTCGACCGAATTCGCAGAGGTGTGCAAAACTCTGCGGAGGTGTGCGAAACTCTGCGGAGGTCAATGTTAGAAAGGTAAGAGCAGAAAGTTTAGAACAAGAAAGAGGAGGGGTTGCACTAGCAAGCAGTTGAGTACATATAGCAAACCCTAAGATGGGTTGTACTCGCTATAGAGTACCCCACTACAGGCTAGACAAATACAGCATTCTGACACACCCCCATATCAGAATCCCAACCACTAGACCATTGGGATAAAAAGGCTTGTTAAGTAGCGGGTCAGTGCGCCCATAACCCCCCAAGCGAATGCGCCTGTAACCCTCTCCAGGATCAATCGGGCATCCACAGTGCAGATCTACTGACACCCCCCCTCACTGGGAGGCCTAGGACTAAGCACAGCGGCAACGGCCTACATGTGCATACACCGGGAACCGAACCCGAGACCGCTCTGATACCATATCAGAATCCCAACCACTAGACCATTGGGATAAAAGGGCTTGTTAAGTAGCGGGTCAGTGCGCCCATAACCCCCCAGGCGAACGCGCGTGTAACCCTCTCCAGGATCAATCGGGCTTCCACAGTGCAGATCTACTGACACCCCATAGCCAAAGTGGGGTGTAATCAGCACAACAAGCATGCAAAGAAATAGTTCACAATGATAAGTAAAGCTAGAGGCTATCACAGAGGGCAAGTGAGGAGGAGGAGAGACTGTGGGGGCGAGAAGATGGGAGGCGACTGCTGAAGCTGCAGACACACAGGAGCTGCTGGCTCAGTGGCTACCGAAGCAAGGGCCCGGACTACAAGAGTAACTGGCTCCGCGGAGATTGTAGCCTCCTGACTGGAGCAACTGACCCAGAGGCGACTGGCGACGACCGGAGATTGTAGCCTCCGGACTACTGGCGCTGCTGGCGACACGACGGCCGCCTCCACTCAACCTCCCCCAGCTGCCCCACGCCCCTATCACACACCCCCTGCTGCACCCCTAGCTCCACTCCCACGACACCCCCCTAGCACCACTCCTTCGGCTCCCACACACCCACCCCCCTGAGCGGTAGCTGCAGCAGCGGGAGACGGAGGAGGAGGAGGAGGAGGAGGAGGAGTAGGGGACGGCGCACACAACCGGCACCCCCACAACCGCCACCCCCACAACCGCCACCCCCACAACCGCCACCCCCACACTCCCCACCCCCCAAACCCTAAAACGGGTGACACGGGGTAGGAGCGCGGGGGACGGCGAGGGGGACGGCGCGCGGCCCCTAGGGAGCCACCACGGGGCAGCAAGGGGCCGCGCGCGGCTCCCCAGGGCGCCGCGACGAGGCAGCGGGGGGGTCGCGCACGGCTCCAGGGGTGGCGCGCGGGTCCCCGAGGGCGACGCGAGGGTCGACGGGGGTGGCGCGCGGGTCCCTTGAGGCGACGCGAGGGTCGAAGGGGGTGGCGCGCGGGTCCCCTGAGGCGACGCGAGGGTCGACGGGGTGGGCACGCAGGTCCAGCGGGGCCGGCGCGCCAGGAAGAAAAGGGGCCGCGCGCCTCGGGGCGCGCCCCAGAGAGTAAATCGCCGCGCACCTACGTCGCAAGCCACGGGGCGTGCGACAGATCGAGTAGCAGCGGAAGCAGGTTGGTGGGCCCACAGGCAAAGGAAGGACTGGCTCTGATAGCATGTTAGAAAGGTAAGAGCAGAAAGTTTAGAACAAGAAAGAGGAGGGGTTGCACTAGCAAGCATTTGAGTACATATAGCAAACCCTAAGTTGGGTTGTACTCGCTATAGAGTACCCCACTGCAGGCTAGACAAATACAACATTCTGACAGTCAAGACAGGTCAACACATATTAAATAAGTCAACAGGGGTTAAAGAGGTCAACAGAGGTTAACAGAGGTAAAAATGTCAACCTTTATCAATAGAGTTGAACAGATGTCAGAAGAGGTAAAAAACGTTCAAAAAATGTCAACACTGGTAAGTTGTTTCGATACTATTGTGGAACCCCACCTTGCTCTGCAAACTGCAGAGATAACTACTACAACGGGAGCTAGACTACGGGCTAGGCATGGATGCTCGTGTGATCTATGCGTTCTCTGTTCCTTAGCCGTTTTCTTAGTGCACACACTGCTTGCTAGGTCACGGGGCAATCTGGCAAGAGTTTCACTAGAGAAAGTTTTCAACAAAGGTACAATGAAGTTGGCATGGCAAGACTACATCAGAGCTAGCATTCAGGTCGGTCGACTGCCAGCGCAGCATGGTCGACCGCGTTCCAGCACAACTTGGTCGACCGCGCTCCAGCAGTGCAAAGTCGATGGCGTGCCAACGTCGCAGGTTGACGGCGTGCCAGCATTGCTCCCGCAGAACAGCAGCGCACCCGCTTCGCATGTGCTCGCAGACGATAGGCGGGCTGAGCCTCGTCACCTGCACAACACACACACCAAGTCATCCTTGTGCTGACGACTCCACCTGATCCGCCATGTCGATCTCGGGATACCACCACCGAGGTCGGACTCGCCAACTTCGCCTGGGCGACCGTCGCACTCCTCGCAGAACCTCGTCACCCAGGTAACCTGGTCGACCGGGCAACCACGTCGACCAGCTGCTCCCGTACGTGCCCGTCGACCCCCCAAGTCGACGGCCACCTCCAGTTGGCCTCACCAGGTCGACCACACCCTTGGTCGACCACCTCCAGGTCGACGTCACTCCTGGTCGACCAGCTCCACGCAGACCAGCACTCCTGGTCGACCAGCTCCATGTCGACCAGTGCAGTTGTCAGCCGACCACCCAAGTCGGCAACCCGAAGTCGGCGTCACCAAGTTGACGCCCTGCTACTCGACGCCCAACTGCTCGGCGTCCTGAGTCGAGGTCGACGTCGGCCTTTCCTCCGTCGACCACCAGGTCAGGCCGACCACCAGGTCGACATCGCGCCTGGCCGACCAACCACCACGTCGACCAGCAGGTCGTTCAGCCGACCACCCGAGTCGGCTGCCCCGAGTTGGCGTCACCAAGTCGACGCCCCCCGCAGGTCGACTTCCTAGGTCGACCTCCCTTAAGTCGGCGCCACTATGAAGTCGGCGCTCATGCAGTGGCCCCCGCTGCTGCAAGCGAGCCGCGTGCACTCCTCGAGGCGGCCGGCAGCGATGCGGCCTTGATTGACTCCGTTGACTCGGAGGACCCGCGGGTGCTTCTCACGATGGGGAACGCAGCGGCGGACCTGAAGCAGTTGTCGGACGACGCCAGCAGCGCCGTGAAGAACGCTCTCGGGCAGGCGGGGAGGAAGGTGCGCAACTCGGTCGGGTCCATGATGGGAGTCCCGCCCAAGAAGGGCAAGAAGAAGCACCACTGCCCCGGCGGGAAGAAGCACCACCACCACCGCCACCGCGGGGGGAAGAAAATTAGGCCGGCGGGAGCTGGTAAGCGCAACTCGGGCGCAGCTCCCAAGGCGCCCGCTGCTCCCGGCGCTGCTGGCGCGAAGGGGGTTCCGAAGAAGCAGGCGGGAGCTGGCAAGCTCACCTCGGGCGCAGCCCCCAAGACCCCC